ACATGTTCCCATTAACTCCTAAAGTAGAGGCAAATATAATAGTTTTTTTCTATACTAAATTATACTAAATATAATAGTATGATACTAAAATGCAAAAATTCATAAGTTGTGTGGATTCAAGTTTTTTTTAATTGTTGACCCTGGACAAAGATGGGCTGAAATCGGGGATAAAATTTTATATAATGCATGCACTAGTATACAGAAAAAACTCTTTCAAAGAAACTTCTCCAGAAAGCTCGCTCCGTGATCGGAAGATCGTGTGTTCGAATCAAGGCCGCGACTGATCTAGGTCGATGAAAAAAATAGGTAGCAACTGTTCCTTCGCCAAGAGCTCTGCACTTTGAAGTGAAAGTTGCGGGTCCTTCGGACTAGACCTTAAAAACCGAAGACCCGTGTCACGGCAGGCGTTGGCACGATAAAGAACCCTCGCTGCTCAGTGGCTCGAGTAAAGGTCTAAATTTGATGCCCTTCACCGGTATATGGTGACGTCTCTATATGAGTAAAAAATTCTCGAACGGGACGTAAATCAACATACAAACAATCAATCTCCAAAACTGTAATTTCTGACGGCCATTTTGTGAGATGGCTGCGATGGCCGTCAGGGCCATGGCCAAATATCCAGATTTCTTCGTAATGCAAATCTTTGTATTTGTGCCAAAATGGTGCTTTTATCACAAAATGCACAAAAGGTTACATACATGTATGCCGCATTGATAGGAGTGAAGAAAATATATCGGATTAAGAATAGAAATACCTCCCCTTTCTCAGGACAATGATTTAAAATAAAATGCAATGAAATCAAATACAAAGAAGAACATTACGTGAAAATATAAAAAAAAGACTTTACTTTCATAAAGTCTTCTCCATTTTTGCTGCGTTATATACATACATTCATACATACATACATACATACATACATACATATATATATATATATATATATATATATATATATATATATATATATATATATATATATATATATATATATATATATATATATATATATATATATATATATATATATATGCCCTTTTTCTAATACCTGGTCAGATTGCAATCAATCTTTTTACTGCACAGAAACTCCTTTTCACTGTTATAATTAAAAATCAAAGATTACTCGAAAATCCAATTTGTTAAAAATCTTCTTCGTCATTAAGTATAGGTGATTATAGACGAGAAGTTATATTGTGGAAGTTAAATGTTTTTCGAAAAATTTTCCAAGAGAAATTATCATACCATCACTCCCAAAAATACAAGCCAATAAAATTTATAAAGTACTGCTATCAGTTTTGACTTTTAACCTTACATTCGGGAGAAGTATTTTTAATGTACCTTTGTCCTAAGAATATAGTTGTTGAGTAAGAATGACGCATCAATCTGAAAATCAGGAAAATTGACCCGGAAGTTGTAAAGGTAGCAAGTAAACCTCTCTTTGTCGTAATTAACGGAATAACAGACGGGGATTAAAGAACATTCACGGCGACACTGCATTGGACCAATGTTGTCAATTTTGTCATAGAAGTCAGTCCCAGTATATCTCAGTCCTTCATTAGTATCTCCGGGGAGAATTAAATATGTATTAAAATAACATATTTTTGTGATGTCATATGATGTCGGTGATCACGTGACGGTCACATAATATTTCCGATTTGCTGCACAAAAAATACATCGGCACAAGTGATAAACAAACTTATTGTGATTTTTTTGTTATATGAATCAATTTATCATATCGTATTTTGTTTATAAAGTGCTGGGGGTAAGTCTGAATTTTATTTATATAGTAAATATTTCAAGAAAACTTCATCCTACCCACGCATATGAGGATATTTTCCACTCTTTATAGCAATTAATACAAAATAGGCTATAAAGCAAACTATCCCTCAGCAAGAGTCAGTTAGGGAACATACTACGCTTGCAGATTCACACAGAATATCTTCAATTTATCCTTATTAATCACTTGTGCCAGTCTAATTTATATGCGATGTATAAATTCTAACTGTCTGCGGACGTGTAACGGGGAGCATTTCACATTCTACTATTTTGTTAATGTTTGAATACGTTGTATATCAGACAAGAGAAAGAAATCACGATGTCAATGCAAATATTCACCATTATACTGAAACTTATAATCAATCCAGAAACCTGAATTCAACATCAACGTAAAATATATTGTACATGTCATAAGACAGGAATGTAAAATTTATGACACTGCAGTAATTTGACGTCATATGCAATTATGACGTCATATCCAAGTAGTTTAGAGAAGTTACTGTTGTTATACCCCTACTAAACAGTCCCTATATAATTTCTTACTTAAAAAAGTCAAACAGTTTGACTGTTTTCCCCGACTGTCGGTCCAGGAACTGTTAAAATAGACTGTTAAAAAAGACTTGAGTTATCAATACCTCATTCGGCAAACTTCGGCTGATTCCGATAACCGTGAATTAAATGTAAACAGTCGAGGAGTGACGAGTAATTTAAACCTTTCATTAAGATAAACAGAAATGGCCGATGTTCGTTTTGCTGCGGCGAACGAGGATGAAATCTAGGCGATATTTCAAAATAGGAACAGTAAAAATACGAAAAACGTTGTGAAAAATATTCTCAGCGAATACCTGGTGACTATGGATTTATCGCTACCTCTTTTTTGAGATAATTCGTGCGAAGAATTGATTTAATTCTGTATACATGAATGATTTAAAATTTTTATTATATGGGTGTAAGAAAGCAGTTGTTGACAAGGGTCTCGGGCAACAGTTGATCTGTCGGACCGGTGTGCAAACTGTTGCCCGCGGCCGTCTGCCTAGCCGCGTACTTGCTACCTTTACAACTTCCGGGTCAATTTTCCTGATTTTCAGATTGATGCGTCATTTGTACTCAACGGCTATATTCTTAGGACAAAGGTACATTAAAAATACTTCTCCCGAATGTAAGGTTAAAAGTCAAAACTGATAGCAGTACTATAAATTGAAGTTTCTTTGATATTTTGCTTGTATAAATTTTTGAAAGTGATGATATGATAATTTCTCTCTGAATTTTTTTTTTTTCGAAAAAGACTTAACATTGATATATAACTTGTCTATAATCACCTATACTTAATGACGAAGAAAATTTATAACGAATTGAGTAATAACGAATCGAGTAATCAAATTTGAATCAGATGTTTAATTATAACAGTGAAAAGGAGTTTCTGTGCAGTAAAAAAGATTGATTGCAATCTGGCCTGGTATTAGAAAAAAGGGCATATATATATGCTATGTGCCCTATATGGCCACAGTTATAATTGGATTTAGCTCAATTAAGTTAAATCGGGTTATCAAAGCTAAATAATGTTAATGACATTTTCATGGGTTTGCCGGGTTTTAGCCACCCCTAGTTCATCAGCAGACATTAGTGTGATATATGACGTCACAGTCTCCCTGCATACTTTTGGCATTCAACAGGTGGAAATTCATGAGGTAGGACGGGATTGATTCATCGTGTAGTCATTTCATTTTTTGCTTTCACCAGACAGCCAGAAGTAATTTCTCGTACTTTCCGATAGGAATCTTTACTTTGTTGAAAGTACCGCACATTGTTTTGTATGGTAAATAAATTTTGGTACATTTACGACAAAATGCCGAATAAGAAGGCCACTTCCTAGACACCAGTTCCGCAAGTCCGCAGCCAAATTTCAAAGCCACAGTCATCATCGACCACAGGTGAAGGACCATCTGCTCTCCTCAGTGACGCCCAGATGAAATCTATAACGGACGCCATCTCGGCGGGTTTAGCCGACAGGGGACCCCAGACTTCTCCTATTCCCGTCAGGGTCACGGACCCTTCTGTAGGCGACCTAAACCTCCCATGTAATGACGTTTTTGATTCCATTTGCTCAGATTTTATTGGGGTTGATGAATATTATGGAGAGCTAGTGCCCATTTATAGCTTTGAGTTAGGAAAGGACACCACCAATCATCCTCCAAAATATGATTAGCTACTGCGTAAAGTGTAAAGGGAGTTCTGGGAACCAGGTCATAGTTTAAAAAAACCCTTTCATTTAGACCCCCATTTCACTCGCAGGGTGAAAGTGAAAATTTCGAAAAATTATTGCACATCAACAGGATACCACCAATCATCTTCCAAAAGATGATTAGGCTACTGCTTTTAATGTAAGGGGGGTACTGGCAACCAGGTGTTTGTAGAAAAAAAAACATCATTTTTTGGCCCCGATTTGCCCCTTGGGTAATATTTAAAATTCCAAAACTTTATTGCACATCTACAGGACACCACGTATCATATTCCAAAAGATTAATTGGTTTCTAAAGAGGAGTTTGAGAAAGAAGAATATGTGACAAACGCACGGTCGGAGGTACGGACCAGGGTAACAGCAATATACCCAAACTTTCCACAGAAAGTGCAGGTATAATTATTGTGCGGATTAATTAAATTGATGAGCGCAATAGTTCCATTGCAGGTAGGTATAATTCAATTACTGCGTGCATTAATTGAATTATTACTCTCTTCAATTGAATTACTGCGGACATCAATTCAATTGTTGATATAAATATGATGTTGTAAATTTTGAATGTACTAGGTGGTGGTAAATGCAAACTTTTCCACATGATAACTTTATCATGTTGTTCAATTATGCATTAAACCTCACTTAGTAACTTCAAAATTTACGTCATGATATCAACTCATTTGAAGATCAACAATTCAATTTTTGTGTTAATCAATTCAGCAAGTAAATTTATGATATCTATAATTTAATGAATGTATACAAAAATTCATATTTGAACATTTGAAAACATATATATTTATAAATGGTATCGGAAACACGTGGTGTTGTTTGTTTACGTGTTTAGGAAGTATTTATAGTATCTAAGATTTGATTGGGTTTTAACGATTGATATGAGTTCAAATGAAATCGTGCGGAACAGGTAGTTTACCTGTGTCCAGGTATTAAGAATAAGAGGTTATTCGAGGTTTCGCTGCGCTTAGCGCAACAAGTAAAAAGTCGAATAGATGTCTCGGCAAAAAACAGATTTCTTGGCCCAATACCGGGAGGAAGATGAGTCTCTAGACGAAACTCTACTACAAGAAACCGCTGGTGAACAGAAAACCACTCGCAAGACGGCAAATTCTGCGGAGATCTCTGGACACTCTAGCCCCCGTGTAAGTGCGGACTTGGCCGACACCTTCAACCTGTTCAAGTCATACCTGGACAACAAACTAGATACTCTCAAGGAGGAACTCTCTACGGGTAACGACATCGAAAATTTAACAAAAACCATTAAAAAAGAGGTCTCTGTAAAATTCAAGAGTGAAGGGAACAAAATTCAGTTTAACTTTAATACTGAAATATTGGGTGATTTGAATAAACTTAAAAAGCGCATTTCAGATTCTTCCACTTTGAGCATCGTTAGAGAGCTCATTTCCAAGGTTACTAAGCGTAACAAGCTCATCAGGATTGCCGATAAATCTCCGGCCGGGTGGTCGACAGTCCGTGAGTATGAAAGTGATGATTTGGCCTCCGACTCTGAGGACGAAAAACGTCTACGTCAAGCTGAAAACCGAGCATTACGAGCTATCAAGGAAAAACGCCGTTTTCAGCCATACTCCAAGTCTGGTTCTGCAACAACTTCGCTACCTGATGGTAGGTCTGGTGGTTCTGGCCGTAATTTTCGTCCCTACAAGCGTAAGGAGGCCTCTCCATACGACGTGTGCTACAACTGCCATAAGCTCGGCCATTGGAAATCCGCATGCACTGCCCCAGCCAGAACCAACAACCCAAGCACAAGCTCGTCAACCCAGTGATTATGAGAATCAGTATGTATATTTCGTTGATGAATCTATTTTTACTGATCAGTTTGAATCATTTGTACAGCAAGTAAATTATTTTAAAAATTTACCTGATATTGGTAAAGGGGTGAAAGGCAGTTTACGCAAACATTTTGAGTTTTGGAAGTCCATAAGCACTAATGAGTTCATATTAGATACTATCAAAAATGGTTATGTTATTCCTTTTGTTACAGTACCGCCACGCATGAGACTGAATAATAACAAATCTGCAATGAAAAACCAACAATTTGTTGATCAGTCTGTTTCAGATCTTCTTGAGAACGGCTGCGTACAAGAGGTTCCCTTTCAGCCACATGTGGTCAGTCCACTAAGTGTTGCAGAAAATAAAGGGTCTGGTAAAAAGAGACTTATTCTGGATTTGAGTCAATTGAATTATTTTGTAGACAAAAGAAAAGTAAAGTTTGAAGACTGGCGTATTGCTTTGAATTTTTTCAATAAAGATTGTTTTCTGTTTAAGTTGGATCTAAAGTCAGGCTATCACCACATAGATATTTGTAAAAGTCAGATTACTTTCCTTTCATTCAGTTGGAAAGATAAGTTTTATTGTTTCAATGTTTTACCTTTTGGTCTAACGTCTGCGCCTTATATTTTTACCAAGTGTCTAAGACCCATCGTGAAGTACTGGAGAAACCGCGGAATTGACATTGTTTTGTATCTGGACGAACTAGACTGAAGCTAGCAGCCAATAACAGCAGCCATTAAGCCCGTAGAAGCTAGCAGCCACTAAGGAAATTCATCAAAGGACTGAGAGTACTCTGACGCAATACTGTTTAATGCCTCATTTTCGACAATTTATAATTAATAATTAGATAATTAATGCAACACTTAATTATTAATTAATAATTCAAACACTTGGAGGCAGTTAAGCTCACCTGCATAAGGAAAATTATGCGGTTTCACAACAAACAAACAAACAAACAAAAAGAAGAAAATGTCACCATCTTTGACCGCTTAAGAATAAAACAGCATTGGATAGGTTAAGTACTTCCGGGAGAATCCTTTTTAGGCTCTTTTACGGGTCTCAGGAACATGATGGTGCCAAAAGGCTAACCTGAAATTTGCTTACTCCTAATATTTACATTGATAAGGGTTTGAAGGTAATTTAATCTATTTTAAGTTATGATCCTTAAAGTGTGCTTCGAACAATTACTGGCTCAAGGTAAAAGGGTCCACAGGGCTATTATATACGGCCATAAAATTTAGGCTGAAGTGGTACCACCAAGTGGTGCCAAGGGCGGGTTACGTATTTCAAGCAGCTATTATACCTCTTATCTTATAAGTGTGCTTTAAATCATTACTGTGCAAGATAGAAGATTTCTAGGACTATCTTTCCCGCAATCGGTTTGAGGCTGTAACGGCACCACCAAGTGGTGCCAACGGTAGGGAACATCTTTCATGCTTTCATTTTTCAACCATCATTGACCACTAGAACAAACTAACACTAAACTGGAAAAAAGTTAAGGGCCTTAGGGAGTATCCTTTGTCAACTTTTTGACAGGTTCCAATGACTAGAAAAGGCCAGTTAGGTAACCTGAACTTTGTTGTTTTTCACATTGTCTATTGATATACGGATTAAAAGTCAGATGTTATACCCCTTATCCTTGAAGTGTGCTTCAAATCATTACTGGGGCAAGGTAGAGGGCCCCTAGGACTATCATTTCCCGCTATCAGAATGTTGCTGTAGTGGTACCACCAAGTGGTGCCATGGGTGGGGGACGTATTTCAAGCATTCATTTTGAAAGCATCTTTGACTACTAGAACAAAGTAACACTAGTGAAAGGTTAAGGACCTTAGGGAGAACCACTTGCAAGGTTTTGGAAGTGTCCCTAGGAAGGAAGGGGCCAGTAAGATAACCTGAAATTTGTTGTTTTTCACTTTGTGTTTTAATATACGGGTTAAAGGTCAGCTATTATACCCCTTATCTTTGAAGTGTGCTTCAAATCATTATTGGGGCAAGGTAGAGGGTCCCTTGGACTATCATTTCCCGCTATCAGAATGTTGCTGTAGTGGTACCACCAAGTGGTGCCATGGGTGGGGCACGTATTTGAAGCATTCATTTTGAAAGCATCTTTGGCTACTAGAACAAAGTAACACTAGTGAAAGGTTAAGGACCTTAGGGAGAACCACTTGCCAGGTTTTGGAAGGGTCCCTAGGAAAGGAAGGGGCCAGTTAGCTAACCTGAACTTTGTTGTTTTTCACTTTGTGTTTTAATATACGGGTTAAAGGTCAGCTATTATACCTCTTATCTTTAAAGTGTGCTTCAAATCATTATTGGGGCAAGGTAGAGGGTCCCTTGGACTATCATTTCCCGCTATCAGAATGTTGCTGTAGTGGTACCACCAAGTGGTGCCATGGGTGGGGGACGTATTTCAAGCATTCATATTGAAAGCAGCTTTGGCTACCAGAACAAAGTAACACTAGTGAAAGGTTGAGGACCTTAGGGAGAACCACTTGCCAGGTTTTCGAAGGGTCGTGTTGAAGAGAAAGGGCCAGTAAGCTAACCTGAACTTTGTTGTTTTTCACATTGTGTTTTAATATACGGGTTAAAGGTCAGCTATTATACCCCTTAACTTTGAAGTGTGCATCAAATCATTACTGGGACAAGGTAGAGGGCCCCTAGGACTATCATTTCCCGCTATCAGAATGTTGCTGTAGTGGTACCACCAAGTGGTGCCATGGGTGGGGGACGTATTTCAAGCATTCATTTTGAAAGCATCTTTGGCTACTTGAACAAAGTAACACTAGTGAAAGGTTGGGGACCTTAGAGAGAACAACTTGCCAGGTTTCTGAAGGGTCCCGACAAAGAGAAAGGGCCAGTAAGCTAACCTGAAATTTGTTGTTTTTCGTTTGTGTTTTAATATACGGGTTAAAGGTCAGCTGTTATACCCCTTATCTTTGAAGTGTGCTTCAAATCATTATTGGGGCAAGGTAGAGGGCCCCTAGGACTATCATTTCCTGCTATCAAAATGTTGCTGTAGTGGTACCACCAAGTGGTGCCATGGGTGGGGGACGTATTTCAAGCATTCATTTTGAAAGCATCTTTGGTTACTAGAACAAAGTAACACTAGTGTAAGGTTAAGGACCTATGGGAGAATCACTTGCCAGGTTTTCGAAGGGTCCCGACAAAGAGAAAGGGCCAGTAAGCTAACCTGAACTTTGTTGTTTTTCACTTTGTGTTTTAATATACGGGTTAAAGGTCAGCTATTATACCCCTTATCTTTGAAGTGTGCTTCAAATCATTATTGGGGCAAGGTAGAGGGCCCCTAGGACTATCATTTCCTGCTATCAGAATGTTGCTGTAGTGGTACCACCAAGTGGTGCCATGGGTGGGGGACGTATTTCAAGCATTCATTTTGAAAGCATCTTTGGTTACTAGAACAAAGTAACACTAGTGAAAGGTTAAGGACCTTAGGGAGAACCACTTTCCAGGTTTTGGAAGGGTCCCTAGGAAAGGAAGGGGCCAGTTAGCTAACCTGAACTTTGTTGTTTTTCACTTTGTGTTTTAATATACGGGTTAAAGGTCAGCTATTATACCTCTTATCTTTGAAGTGTGCTTCAAATCATTACTGGGACAAGGTAGAGGGCCCCTTGGACTATCATTTCCCGCTATCAGAATGTTGCTGTAGTGGTACCACCAAGTGGTGCCATGGGTGGGGCACGTATTTGAAGCATTCATTTTGAAAGCATCTTTGACTACTAGAACAAAGTAACACTAGTGAAAGGTTAAGGACCTTAGGGAGAATCACTTGCCAGGTTTTCGAAGGGTCCCGGGGAAGTAAAAGGGCCAGTAAGCTAACCTGAACTTTGTTGTTTTTCACTTTGTGTTTTAATATACGGGTTAAAGGTCAGCTATTATACCCCTTATCTTTGAAGTGTGCTTCAAATCATTACTAGGGCCCCTAGGACTATCATTTCCCGCTATCAGAATGTTGCTGTAGTGGTACCACCAAGTGGTGCCATGGGTGGGGGCGTAATTCAAACTTTCATTTTCAAATCACCTTAGGCCCCTAGAAGAAACTAATACTGGTTGAGGATCATTGGAAACTTTCGGGTTCTCTCGGACTTGATGGGGGCCAGTTCAACTTTGTCGTTTATTTACATTGAATATTGAAACACGGATAAAGATCAGTTATTATTTCTTGAAAGTGGATATGCATCATACCTTAGTAGGGTATAGGAGGTGGCGTATCGGGCTATCATTTGCCGATCTCAGATTAAGACTTTAGGGGAACCACCTAGTTGTGCTTTGGTTGAAAGCCCTTTTTGAAGTATTTATTTTTCGCAATATTTGAACACCATAAGAAACCAACACAAGGGAAAGGTAAGGGATCATAGGGAGTATTCCTTTTCAGTTTTTGGAGGGTCTTTAAGATTGGACATTGCCAATATTCTGATAGAAACTTAATTTTTTTTTCTTGTTCAGTTTTTAAGAAAATTTAGGATTCGTCTATTATCCCATTATTTTTGAAGTGTGCATGAAAGCACTTTTGTGGCAGAATGGGGGGGGGGGGGGGCTGGCTTATCATTTTCACTGTAGGGGTTCCGCCAAGTGGGTTGTTTCAAGCGTTTTTTTCTTCGCCTTCTTTGAATAATGTAACAAACCAACACTAGGCAAGGGAAAGGGATCATAGAAAGTGCCCCTTGTTATGTTTTAAGAGAGTCTTTGAGACAATCATCTCATCCAAACATTGTCACATTTTAACATTACATTTTGAGATGAGGTTGTTCATTTACTCAGGTGACTTATTGCTGTATGTTTTCGTCTGTTGTCATTTGTCGTCCATCGTACGTTATATTTAAACATATTCAGCTTTTTCTATGTGACCTTTATATCAATTTTAATCAATTTTCGTATATAGCATCTGTGAGTAAAAGGAGAGGAAAGTTGTGAATTTCATGTTCCTGGCTCTTTTGAGCCGAGTTATGCCAAAGACAAGATGTAGTTACGATATCGACAGATTATTTTTTCATAGTTTGCTACAATATTTCTTTTTTCTTGTTCGTATGTTACAATACTCAATATTTACAAAGTTTTTCTTACTGTACGTATCCACGATATCGCATTGATATTGAATCATGATTATTCAATGGATGTTGGTTACCTCCCTCAATGTTATATTACCTGAATGCTATCATTTTCATAGTGTCGATATCATTTCGATGTCGATTCATGTCTGCTCAAGCATTTCAAACTTCTATCCTTGCCATTGTGCAT